GTTAGCAAAGTTGAAACTTGCTTTACGTTGTATGTACGTCGTCGATGTAAGTAACTTAGTCGTTCTGTCGCTGCGTCGCTAAAGTTAAGGCCGAAAAATTAATAGATGGGAATTAATAGATGTCTTAACAGCAAAAAACGTATTTCTAAGGTTATTTGGTTTATTATGTTGTTTTAGTGGCTTTCACTTGTCGTTGCTAGTAATTTTTATTGTGTTGTTTGTCGTGTTTTTTCAGTGTGATTAATGCAATTATTTGTCGGCTGCATGGGGACATTTGTTTTTTATTGCTGCTTCAGGATCCTGTTCTTCACAGCTCTCTGCTGGAGCGAGTTTGAGGGTAGTCGTGGGCTTTGAGTTGCACTAGGGATGAGATGTGAAGAGTCAACGAGTGACGAAATGCACAAAATATAGTCTCTTGTATTTCAGCTTCAGAGGAAGCTCACTTACTTATTTTACGTTATTTCTTTGATATTCCTACTTGTTTGACCAAATGTGTTATTTTTGAATTTTTAAGCAGTTTTAAAAAGATTGAAATTTAATAATCAACGTTGAGACTATTGGTAGGAAGAGGACGATACGACTGTATCGTTTGAATCTGAAGAAGTCAGAAGGTATTTTACCAGCGGTATTAAAAATTATCAGCTTGTTAGTAAACCCCCTAATACCTAGGATAATTGTCATTGCGTATAAATTATATCCGCAAAAGTGAGAGGAAATGTTAATTTTTATTGTTGTTGTTTGTCTTAGGTACCTGGCGAGCAGTGGCTTGACAGCCCCTTCCACCCCTGATTGTTGATGTCTGACATATAGTAAGGACTCACTCGGATTACTTTTAAGTATTGAGCCCTTCGACGAAGTGCGCACTCGATGTCACAAACAGATCTACTCCGTTCATGTCTTTTAGACTGGTCTCCTTTCCTCTTTACCGCGTTGTGAGCTTCCATAGCAGAAACGTTTTACTCGCGGCTTCTGACGTTTAAGTCATTTTATCGAACCGTTGCTTAGTTCTTCGGAGAACCTTTTCAACTTTACGGTTCTGTTGCAGATTTTATTATACAGGCCTACGGATCGAACTGAATCTGTAGCTGGTCAAACAGGTTTTTGTTCAACCCAGCAGAGTGGTGCTGTTTGGCGCCCAGCTGCTAAAGGTGCATGTGCTGGGCTTTGGTAGGATCGTAGCCCACTTAAACGGTCCTTAAGTGACGAGCGAATGAAAAGAATTTTTGAGGAAGAGGTTTTGTCAACTGTATCACTGAAAAAACAGTTACTTAAAAATTTAACGATGTAGTTGTTATGGATAATACTTTATGAACTCATCAACCAAACCAATTCTTGTTCTTTTCCTCTGAGTGAGAATATGTTCCAATTTCCGACTTTTAGCTCCCACTGAAAGGGAGTCGTTCTCGTGGATCCTTTTCTGATGTGCTATAGTGGATACGTATTCGAAATCGAAACACGTATGTAAAGTGTTCTTATTAAATGAGACAAGTTAATTTACGTCTCTGGCTGGTATGTATCCCCTAAGCCACCATAAGAGGATGTACATCTCCTCAGAAAGTTCACAATACATTACAGGTAAAATGTTCAGTTTATATTTGGTCTATCACATTGGAAGAAAAACGCAAAATATAGAACGTATTGCACGGGAAAGAAAATCACCCTCAACCACGGAAGAACTTTGTTCATCTGTACAATCAGCTGCGTCCGTGGCGACATTGCAGCACCTCTCAATAATACCTGAACCAGAAGCATTAATGATACCGATGAACGGGTCCTAAATGAATATAATATCTTACATAACGCTCGATAAACAGTTCATTTCTTTCCTAAGATCAAACTTCATGGCGTATTGTGACTATCGTTTGTGATGTATGCGAGGTGGCTCTGGGGGACAGAATGATATAAGATGTATCCGATACTGCAGGTGCCCAAATGCAGTACAACTACGACCTGTTTAAATGGTCCCCTAGACAACTAGCAGTGACGTGCAGTGCAATATGCCGCTAAATCTGATCTAGAACATGTTATACGCTATTTTGCGATGCATTACTTACTGTATCACTGACTGTGTACAGATCTTTGACAGATGCGTCGATTGTTCAAATAATACTTTACAAGCTGGTTATACTCTGTTCAAAGGTTCGTTGTGATTTCTCAAAAAATGGTTTCCCGCATAAAGAAATTCGTGCCTTATTCATTTGACTTCATATAGTTTTAGTTTATATTATGTTTGTGTTATATACGCAATTTTGGTATTTCTGCCAATTTTTGGCACACTGGATTATTGTAATGCGTTGGATAGGCCTAATTATTTCGTCGGTGTCTAGGGGTGGCTGTTCCGTAATATAGTGGATTCTTAAAATCTTTAAGCGTTTTCTCTGAAAATCCATGACTACAGTTTATAACTTCGGTGCTCCCCCATTCTTAGTGTTCGAATCTGCCCTTTTCGTAGGAGTCAATTTTCATTTGTCTCCGATGCGGTCTTTTTTTCTGAAAGCGAGGTCGCTCAAATAAAAAGAGTATATATTGACTAGATTGAGAAGTGGCGCCGTTATGCAACACTGCATGAAGTTGGAAATTCGGGGCTCGCCCTCTTCGATCTACGACGGT